GACCGCTGTGGGCTCCCTCAGCCTCCCCGCTCCTGCCAGGCTGTCCAGAAAGCCCTGCCTCTTAAACACAGGAGGTGTAAGTACACCTCTCTCCACATTTTCCATCCCATTAGATTACTCCTCTATGGCACATCAGCCCTGTTTAATTTACTCTACAGGTAAATTACGAGCTGAGTATCTCTACTTCCAAAACATTTATTTGGTTACTGCTGCAAATTGTTCAGGCTGAAACAATTCATATCCTGGCCATACAGGGAAGACTCCTACTCTTGGGAGAGGGACACTAAGCAGCCTTGTAGACTCCACAGGGCAAAGTACCCCAGTATCTAGAAGGGATCAGACCCAGCCCTCTCCTACAGCATCTCTTGCTCCAGCCTTAGTAATGCTCAGTTTCTTGGTCACTGTTCCCACCCATATGTTGGTGTGTCTTCTCCAAGTCAGCTGGCTGGACCTGTGCTGCCCCACAGAGCTGCCTATGTTCACACCTATCCCCATTCCAGAGCTTAGCAAAAAGAGCAATTTCCTAATTCCTGCAGCAGATGTCACTTATTTTGATTACAACTGGGGCACTGACCTTTATTCAGTGTTTAAAGGCAGACTAAAATATTATGAAAAAGCAAATTCTATTTAGCATCCAGTAGCTTTTTAAAAATTAGTTCTACTTGGTCCAAAAGATTTGTCCCTGTGGCCAGATGCAGCAGGGAGGACTGGCCAGGCACGCAGGGCACAAGACAAAAAGATATAACACACCAGTGAAGCAAGGCTAGAAGCTCCCTACTAACACCCTGCCAGGCCCAGGCTAAGGAGAGGGATCTCTTTTCACTCGGGTAACAGGAATGCTACAACTGAAAACCAACAGTGATGCTCTAACAGTACTGCAGCTTTTTTTTTTGGGAAGGTGCCAGGCCCACCCCCCTCTGAGCCTGCCTTGTGGACAACCCGATCTCTCCAGCTGTGCCCAGGACATACAGGATGCATCCGACCAAGCTTCCAAGGTAGCACGGAAGGAAGGTATGAACCGAGGAGGAGATGGGGCAAAGGCCCTTGGCATGGAATAGCTGTTCCCTCACAGCTTTGGCACATGAGAGCTCAGCACCTGGGCAGAAATTTATAATCCAAGCCTGGTGCACTCCAGGGTGAGGGTTAGCCCCAGTCCCTAGACCCTCCCTCACGGCCATGCTCTCTGTTACACTGTGCTGGGGAAAGTTCTGCTCAAAAAGACAACTAGCCAAGGCCTTCTGTGCCGGTCACCACAGATACACATGCCTGATGGAGGAGAACTGGCCTTGTGCTGCTGCCACAGCGAAAGGCAGTGATCCTTATAGTGTTCAGCAGTTCAGTGCCACCAGGGCACTTGCTCCCTGCCATTCAGGCTTACCAGCTGCCAAAGGGCCCCAGCCAGCCCCCCTGCACAGCCAGGTCCAGCAGGAACCTTCCCAGCTGGGCTGGAAATGCTGCTGGAGGGACAAACACACCTCAGCTGGATAGCTACGGGAGGCACCTCACCCACTACACCCCCGCAAATACTGAATAGTATCTGGAGTGGGTGACCCCAGAGGGGTTTGGGTTAAATTCAGCTTCCATGTATCGGAGTCTGACAAGCAATACAGCCTATGTGCTGTAAGCCTGTCCTTCACTTGCCTGCCAAAAGCATAGGGTCTAGAGTGGTGTTTGCAAGTGCAGGACATGCTGCTACCTGAAGCACAAGGGATGCCTGGCTCCCTTCCCTGATTTAGGTGCCTCTGGGGAGAGGCAGGATGCACATTCAGTGCTGAGAGATGGCACTCACAGCAAGAACATCTCTGCCACAAAACCCCGCATGCCTGCCCTAGCCCAGGCAGCCCAGCTGAGGCAAGGCAGGAGAGCTGGGGCTATTCGGAGTGTAAACAAAAAAGATCTTTGCTGAGGAACGGACCAGGAGGGCAGAAAAACTGTACGTGAGGGAAGGAGGAAAGGAAGGCAGGTCATCCAATAGGGCAGCAGACTGGTGATGAGCCCTGGAGGAGCTGCACAGACTGGCAGGTGGGTTACAACTCCACTCTCAGCAGCTGGGAGACCAGCTCCCCTCCCCATCCAGAGCAGCAGGTCTCCTGCTCACTTACTTACACACTTTCTCCACTATCTCCACAGCCCTCGCTCTGCTCATCACCCAGAGGATCAATGGTCCCTTTGCACTGGAGACAACTTGGTCACAGCTCCAAGACAAGCTGGGAAAGAAGGTGGGAAGGTGGGCACAGTGTGCTGGTGTGGGTTGGCCTGGATTCAGGCCTCCACATCCTCAAAGAGCTCCTTCTGGTGGTCCAGCAGGAACTTGGTAAAGGTATTGATGGGGTTGATGGCTTTTAGGGTGATAGCTACATCTTTGGCCCACAGCAGATTTGGGCCAAACACAACTGCCAGGTTGGTGTTTGTCATCTTGTTTCTGTCACTGTGAGCAGAGACCTATGTGGGAAGGAAAGAGACCATTGTGAATCCTACAGAACAACACAGCAGCTGCCCTCTACCCTCCCCAAAGCCAGAGCTGACAGACGCCCAAGGGCAAATAGGAAGAGAGAAGCTGAAGGCCCAATGCGAGAAGCCAGCTGGGGAAAACACAGATGACATTCAGCGTTCAGGAGGTAAGGAGCAATATCTTGCCATTTGCCACTACAGCTTAACCACCAGGCCATATCATAACAATGGGACCAAGAGCAGTGTCAGCCAGTACCTCTACAGTCCAGATCACCACATAAAACAAAATGATCCTCCCTCTTGCTAGAATAGCCTTGCAGTGGCTTCCCTGGCAGCAGAAAGTTCTGTAGGGAGGATTCTAGACCCCTCTTCTAGTCTCATCTTCTACTCAGGTATTTTGCAGTTGTACCTCCACACTGGGGAGCTTCCAGCCTCCCTGGTACAGACCACACAGGCTTAATGCCTGCCTGCAACTCTCAGTGTTCTGAGAAGCAATTGCTTAGGCTAGTTCATCATGACCATTCTTGACCTCTGTATAACAAGAACATAAGGTAAGGAAAGGCAATCTCCTAGCCTGAGACTCATTTCCTCTCAAAGGAAAAGGGGGAGCGGGCAGTCACAAAGCTGATGCAAGGCACTGGCAACTGAATTAGAATATGACTGCCCACCTTTGGAGCAGCTCACCTGCACCAGAAAGGCTGTCAGTAAATGGAGCACTTGGTAGTTTTCTTCTGGCAGAGTCTGAAGTGTTTTGCGAACAACATCCACACGATTCACCTCCTCCACACCTGAAAATCAAGACAGGACAAAAGCAGGTCCATGAGGAATCCTCAGCACCCACCCTGATGAAAGCTCTGTTTGCAGTCCCAGGGTATCCCACACAGGACTGTGCTCCCCCCACCCCCAGTTATCTCTGCCCTTGGCGAGTGCAATGTTCAGGGAGTAGCATACTCTTGTTATAACTCACTCTGGAAGCTGACCACATGGCTGTAGAGGCCGAAAGTGAGGAGGGGCTCTGGTAGCTCCCTCAAGAAGGTCTTGAGAATCACAGCAGGGAGGTGGACATCTTCATACTGCTGGAAATCTACAGGCACACCTGAGAAAGCAGAGCAGAAACTCAGCGCTCACTGGCCAAAGCAGGACCTCCTCCAGACAAAGAACTGGACATGGTGGTCAGAGCCCAGAACTAGGGAAGCAGTTAAAGAACACAGAGAGGGTGCTGAAGCACCACATCTTCTAGCAGCGTGGAGAAACATGTCCCAAAAGTATATGCAAAGCACTGCTGAATCCAGCACTACATCTTTAGAAGTCATCAAATGAAACAGATAAAGTGTCCTGGTCATCTTCAGTCCCTCCAGTATAGCCAGAATAAGACGGTATATGCCACCCCGAGAAACAGGGAAATTTTCAGGAAGGAAAAGGGCAGCAACGGGAACATGAGTGGGAAGGAATATGCTTTCCACACAGCAGAAGTATCAGCTGCTTCTCCCTTGCAACTCGGGTCATACCCTGATGGGGCCTCACCTAGACACCTATCAGAGAAGGAGAGGAGTCATGATGGACTAGTTCCAACATAGTTCCAGTTGGACAGTAGTAGTTAGGGAATGAGAGGGGCTCTGCTGAGTTCGGGCACTTACCCATGTTGTATTTTTGCTGGACCTCCCTGACAACCTGTGTATTCGCTGATCTCCGGAAAATCCCCTCTGTAGCAAGAGCTGGGAAGTGAGAGCAGATGGAGAAGGAAGATCAGCCATGAGAGTCTCTAAAAACGCTGGTCTTAACAATCATAAATCCATGCTGTGGGGCGTTCAGACAGATGTCTTTTTCAGAGTACAGCAATTCTTTCTGCTTCCACTACCAGGCAAAGGATGCAAGGAGCATTTTGCTACTCTTATACAAGTGGGAGGATAGACAACTGGAAGAAAGAGGTCTCCTCAGCCCTGCACAATCTCACTTGAAGGCTAACTCACCTAGTTCAGGCCTTTACACCTTATTCTAGACTGCTGTTCTTCTTTATCTTACCACACTCTGGGTGGGAACTTGGGTGGAGGAGAGGCCACTGACATGCAATTAAGAGAGGCTGCGGCTTCCCCTGAACACTTACCATGCTCCTGCAAATGAGCAATGGTGTCTCTGACCACCAGAGGAACAGGAGACTGATCAGGGCTCTTCTCCCTGAGACTGTGGGAAAAGACAAAAGGTTACAAATGACTGGTCCTCCCTGCCCTGCATGCAGCCCCTGAGTCTTGAAGTTGCCCGCACAAGCTCTGCCACATAGGATCTTGCTATCCCAGTCCCTGGTTCAGCCATTATTCCAGCCTTCTATCCCCTCTTCACCCATCACGCTACATCATTTGCTGGAGCAAGTATGAGCTTATTACTACACCACAGGAACATTTCATTCTCTTCTGTAAAAATCATAGCCTGTAGATAGCCAAAGGTGTTCCCAGAAGGCAAGACTGCTAGTTATGAATCAGATGAAAAGGGTTAAGATTTATTTTTTCTTCCCCATGGGAACAAGGGCAGAAAGAAGTTGACAAATGGCAGAAATATATATGGGAGAAGTTTAGCCACCCCACTCCTGTAAGGGAAGATATATCAACGCAATGGCTATCAGGGAAGACCTAGTGATGCCAAGGTGTTCGCTGTCACCCTCACATTCAATTGTCTATACCACTTGATAGCATAGAGCTATTCACCCCTCTCAGGCTACTAACAAGCTCAGGCACACAACACCACAGGGGTTAGATCTGGAAATGTTGTGCTGAAGCTGGGGAATGTGTTCCCAGATTGCTTCAGAGGGTCTGTCTGGCCACACAGTACTGGCTCCTCCTCATTCCCCTGGGAGGCAAAATCACACTCAAAGTTAAAAATACCTTCAACACTTAGCCAGTATCACTAGCCCTTCCCAGTGTCTGTGTTTGCCTGTGTCACCCTGCAGGAATGGGGGCCGGGAATCAGTACAAGGGTGAATAGAAGTGCTTTTAAAATAGAATTTGTGATATGGAAAAAATAAGAAACAGATCTGCCGCACTGCTGAATCAAAATAGCATAGTCCTAAAGACACCTCCACCAGCCTCCTACAGACTTCTTTTGCTTAAAGGAAGTTTCTAGTGGCATAAAGCTGTCCCCATGGCCCTTATTTTGCCCTTCTTTTAGTGGCCCTTAGCTGCAGAAACAATCTCATCCTAATTTAGATACAATCTAGCTGGAGAATCAAGAGGGTGGAACTGAACTGAGTCAGTCAGGATCCGGACGTGAGCGCAGAGTTCCTCAGAAGAATGATTAAAGCTTAGTAGGAGGTCTGAACTGCAAGAAATTTTACAGCCACTTTTGCTGCCATTCAGTTATAAATACACTGACCTCATATAAAGCAAGTCAGGGCAAAAGCAACACAATCCAGAAATACTCACTGCTGGAGCGAGACTCCAAACTGCTGGTTTGGCAGTGGTGGGCGTGGGGGTGTTGGCTTCTGGGGCACTTGTGAAGGTTTTTGCAGGGATCTCAGATATTCATCATATCTGTGGCAAAATATAAACTAGTAAAAAGCCACTTCACCTCCCAGAAAAGAGCATGAACCCCACATTGCACATGACCCATTGCACACCCACTGGTAACAGCTCCAGCCTAACATGGTTGATTTGTTCTTCAACCTGGAGACAAGAAAGCTCTGGAGAGATCTTATTGCAGCCTTCCAGTACCTAAAGGGGGCTTAGAAGAAAGACGGGGACAGCTTCTTAGCAGGGCCTGTTGCGATAGGACATGGGGTGATGGTTTGAAACTAAGAGGGTAGATTTAGACTAGATAAAAGGAAGAAATTTCTCCCAGTGAGGGTGGTGAACCACTGGCACAGGTTGCCCAGAGAGGTGGCAGATGCCCCATCCCTGGAAACATTCAAGGTCAGGTTAGACAAGACTCTGAGCAACCTGGTCTAGTTGCTCATTGCAGGGGGGTTGTACTAGATGGCCTTTAAAGGTCCCTTCCAACCCAAACTATTTTATGATTCCACCTATACAAAAACAGGACAGGCAGCTCTGAAGCACAGGGGCAACAAGAACAAACACCTGGTGGCCAGAAAAAAGCAGAAAGAAGAATATCTATCTGGAATCAGGAGCTGGAGTAGCTGAGGATGACACATAGCATGAGCAGGAGGTCAGGACAGCACTGCTTGTGATGAGACAGTTGCATGTGTGTGTGAGGGACCAGGGAATCAATCTGGTAGGACAAAGATCATAGCAACTTTGGGAAGCCTCAAAAACAAGCTGAACCATGCAGAGTAAGCAAAGCAGGTGCCCAGATGCAGCAGATGCACACCAGGAGTTCCAGGTCAGTGTTAAGGTCACTAGCTTGCAGAAAGCCCCTGAGGGGGTAAATGGGAAAGGCAGGATTGGTGCTCTGCTGGAAGAGGATTTTTAACTCAAGGACATAACTGTGCACTGGGGCCACGGACACACAGGAAGGAGCATGGAGAGAAACAATGATTTTTAAGGCAATTTGTCACCACTCCCTCCAAAAACACTGCCTGAGTGGAACAATCTCTTCCTCCTCTTGCCATTTCTCCAGAAAAGTCCCCTCTCACAGAGCGCCCTAAGCAAATGGGAGACAGGCAGCATTCTCACTTCAGTACTTGGCTTGGGATCCCCAACTGTTCCAGCTTCACATACTCCTCCAGCTCACTAAGGAAGTTCACATAAAAAATCTTTCGTCCAAACTTAAAGCTGAAAAACAAGAGAAAAGTAGGTATGTGAGGAATCAGGAAATCAAATATCAGAACTGACTTCTTACAGGCAAGGAAAGCAGGGGTCTGCAAGACACATCAATGAGGCAAAGGGGCAGTTATGGCTGAGCAGCAGAGATGTCGTCCACATAGCCCTCCAACTCCGTATATTTTACCAGGAGACGCCAAGACTTTTCAAGTCACATTAGAAGCCCTAGCAGCAGCAGGGTCCCTAAAATGCT